CCTGCCCGGCGAGCAGGGCCAGGGCCCCGGCGGCTCCAGCTCCTGGCCAGCCCGGGCTTTCAGTGGCCTCCGAGCCCGGCTGACCCGAAGTCCTCGGTAGCCTCCAAGCCTGGCTGGTCCAGCACTCGCCCTTAAGCCTGGCTGCAGCAGGAAGACAGTCCGATCCAGCGTGCCTCATCTGCCATAGCCTGGGGTCTCCCAGTGAACACCCATGCAGGGGTGGCACTAGCAGGGTGACTGATCAGTCCCTCATCCCTCTTCACTACCGCATGGAGATGGTAAACTCACCAACAGCTTGGACAAGCTCTGTCTTCCTGGCAGCTTTCATCCTATTCTTCCCAGCAACTTCATCATCTGTGTAATGTTTGTAGTAACAGGCTCTTAGACCCCCTTCTTTCTTCTCTCTTCCTGCGTCAAATCCACCCCCCACCACTGTATCATCGCTCATTGTGGATGACAAAACCCTCATGAATGGAGTGACTTCTCTGGCAATGACGTTTCCTGTGAAATGTGCACCCTGGAGTGAATTTGGGAGACTAAAAGACTTTGCCCTTTGCTTTTGTCAGGTTTCCTCCCACTGTGGATTGGGAGCTGGCACTCCACTGCTGGCAGACGCTTCCCCTGTGAGGTGTGGCCTGCAAGAGCAGAGTGGGGTTGCTATAGAGGGTTGCGATGCTGCACCCTTCCTGTGGGATCCCAGAGTAAGGATGGTCGTACCAAGTGCTGAACTCTCCTTCTGGTGGCCTTGTGGTTGGCCCAGTCATGCAACCTGCAAACAGTGAGATAACAGGGAGAGGAGGAACAGCCAGATCTCTGCTCTCCTGCTGCTTTGGGGTGACTAAAAAGCATATGCAGGTGCTCACAGAGCTGCTGAAACATCAGAGGGGCTCCATACTGACACCTCCAAGGCAGACAGCTTCATATTTCCCTGTCCCTCCACTGTCTCAGTGGGTTGGAGGGAGGGCCTGGGGCAGGGCAGGGATCTCCCAGCAAGCACACAGCAGCTCTGATCTCTACGGGGTGTGGTGTGGTTACTTGCACTTTGTACATTGGAGCAATGTGGCCTCAGCCCCAGGGTGCAGGAACGTGGGGGGCTGCTTGGCTGCAGGCAGGGGCTTTTCTGTAGCAGTGGAGGGCAGACCCCAGTGCTGTCCCACAGTGCTAGAGACAGAGGAGAGAGTGGTTATCAGACCGACTCCCCTCCCCAGTCTGTGCTCCCTGCCCAATCTCTCCAGGCTGGGCTCTCCCCTCAGGCAGAGTCCTGCTCCTTTTGGGGCAGTAGGAACCCTTAAATCTTTGCCTGCCCATTTCCCCACAAAGATGTGTCTGTGTACAGCCAGCCTGCCTGCCCAGTCTCCCGCTACTGCTGCCTGGAGCCTGCCTGTGCCCAGAAGGCCTGAATCTCCATCCCTCTTTCTATTTGAAGTGACTTCCCAGCTCATTCATGGTTTGGGATTTCTGTGAGCCAGACAGGCAGCCTCAGTGCCTGGGGCAGGGGGGATCTGGCTCAGCTTTCCAAGGCAGGACTGGGAAAACTGCTGAATCCACTCAGCCCGCCCTGAGCCAGCCTCGGGGACCAGCCGAGGTCTGAGCTGGTTGTAACCATTGCCAACACCTCCCGCTGGCTGCATTTCAGTCCAGCGACTTGTCAGCATCTGTCTCCTCCCGTGACTGTCCCCTTGGGCTCCTGAGGCCCAGGCTGCCCCTCTGCCACCACCTACCCTCTCCCCAGGGACAGCCAGCATGCCAAACAGCTCTGGCTGTGGGCTCCATGCCGGAGTGACAGCCTTTCCTGGTAGTGCCGCCTGGTAATTATCTGTTTGGATTTGTGCTGCATGGCTGTGTTAGACACCCTGGTGCATGTTCTGTCTGCTTCCCTAATTGCTGCCAAGCGCCAAGCCACTGGTTTTAAGTTTCTTCCTTCTTTCCCCTCCTCTTTTCCTGCTTCAAGTGAATTTAACACATGTCCAAGCATCAGAAGCCCAGCTCCTCTGTCGGGCAGCGTGAGTGGAGGAGCAGAGGCTGCATCTGAGCAGGGAGCGGCGCCAGACTGTCTGCACAGGGCCAGGCTTGTCTCCGGAGGCCGGGCTCTTGCGGTGCTGCTGCCACCGGGCCGGGCTGTCTGCAAGCACCTCTGTGCCACTGCCACTTGCAACACAGGAGAGGTTTCAGCAGCTCTCACCAGCCCTGTCCCTTGGCCCTGCTGTGCCAGGGAGGGCATCCCCAGGAGACGCCACACACCATGCATCCCGTGGGGTTTGCTGGCTGTGCCACTGGCAGCTGCCTGCATTCCTGGGCTCTTCCACAACACCTTTCAGGTGGCTGCTCCCCTCTCTGGCTGCTCCAGGAGGGCTGGATGAGGCCAGGGATGCTGTGAGAGTGAAAGCGATGGGCTGGGGGCAGCGGGGGATGTAGGCTGCACCCACCCTCCTGGGCAGCCACCCCCCCAGGCTGCATGGAGCGTCCTCAGAGCCCATGGACCTGAGCCATGAGCATCACCGGCCGGGATGCTCCTCCCTCAGTGCCCCTCCATCAGGGCCTGGCCATCTCTGTCCCAAATTAAGCAGCTAAAATAATTCCCTTGCTTTTAACTTGGGTCTCAGGGGAGCTGGCGATGGAGAGGGTCCTTCAGTCCCATCAGCCACCATCGGATAGACGTGACAGCCATCTCTCAGGGCTCAAGGACCCCTGAGCATCACCGGCCGGGATGCTCCTCCCTCAGTGCCCCTCCATCAGGGCCTGGCCATCTCTGTCCCAAATTAAGCAGCTAAAATAATTCCCTTGCTTTTAACTTGGGTCTCAGGGGAGCTGGCGATGGAGAGGGTCCTTCAGTCCCATCAGCCACCATCGGATAGACGTGACAGCCATCTCTCAGGGCTCAAGGACCCCATCCCTGTCCCCTGGTCCCTGAGGTGGAAGCTGCTTCCCTGGCCTCCAGCTCTTCGCCCTGTCCCCAAGGGCTGCCAGGAGTCCAGCGCTCTCCGGCCTCAGGCCCAGCTCTTTGGCAGGGTTTGGCACAGCACCGGCAAACAGGGTGCGGGCAGGATGGGCAGCGCACCAGCAGGGCCTCACACCAGGCACCGGCTGGGGTTGGGGGGGGGCAGACTCCATCAATTATTCACCTCCATATTTATAGAGGGAAATGCTTTGAATAATGGATGGCAGGGTGCGGCAGGGCCGTTGGAAAGCCAGCCTCGCTACCGCTGAAATATTTATTGGCCTGGTTTGCTGGGGTGCTGCCTGGCTGTCACGATGCTCGGGGAGGCTCGGCAGGGCTCCTAGCCGGCACAGGCTTGCCGCCAAGCCCTTGGCTGGCATGGTGAGCATGGGCAGCTCTGCTGCGCTGCTGCTGCCTCCTCTCCCCTCCCCCAGATTTACCTCTCTCCCATGAGGGCAGGCTGCGAGGGTTGGGGTTGTTCAGCCTGGAGAAGAGAAGGCTCCGGGGAGACCTTATTGTGGCCTTTCGATACTTAAAGGGGGCTTGTAAGAAAGATGGGGACAGACTTTTTAGTAGGGCCCATAGCAATAGGACAAGAGGTCCTGGTTTTAAACTAAAAGATGGGAGATTCAGGCTAGATATAACAAAGAAATTTTTTATGATGAGGGTGGTGAAACACTGGATCAAGTTGCTCAGAGAGGTGATAGATGCCCCATCCCTGGAAACTTTCGAGATCAGGTTGGATGGGGCTTTGGGCAACCTGGTCTAGTTGAAGATGTCCCTGCTCATTGCAGGCGGGGGTGGACTAGATGACCTTTAATGGTCCCTTCCAACCCAAACCATTCTATGATTCTATGATCCTGCTCCCATCAGTGGCTGGATCCCAGGCTCCGAGAGGGATGTGAACACCCAGGGACAAACCCCCATCCATCCCCCATCACAGGGGATGCCAGGGCCACACAGCCCCTTAGAGGACCCCGCTCTGTGCCCCGGGCATGTCCCCTCTGCAGCTGTCCCCAGCAACCCTACACCGCCCAGTCCCCTGTGCCACACTGCTCCCTGCACAGGGACCCCCAAGGTCTCCCTCCCCACTGGTGCCATGACATCCTCCAGCCCTGCCTGCACTCCCTGCCTGCTCTCCCTGCCAGACCGACAGCCCCTCAGCCCACACCCCTATGTTGCAGAGAGACCCGTGGAAGATGTCGAACCCGAGAAACGGTGACACCAAGCCCCCATGTTTGCCCCGCAATGGACTGGTGAAGATCCCCACACAACCCAACGGCCTCGGCTCTGCCAGCATCACCAAAGGCACCCCTGCCGTGAAAAACCGCCTGTGCCAGCCTTCCTCCGTGCCTGCCATCCTCAGCCCAGCCTTAGCACACCGCAGCGACCTGCCCATCCCCAGCCTGGCATCCCCGCTCTCCTTGGCCACTCTGGCCGGCGTCTCCTCCCCTCCTGGTGCTTCCTTGGTGGGACTGAACACGAGCGAAGGCTCAGAGCAGCCCTCACCAGAGCGGCTGCCAGGCTCGCCCTCGGAAAGGCAGCTGGCAGTGGACGAGAAGATCCTCAACCGCTTGTTCTGGTACTTTTCAGCATGCGAGAAGTGCGTGCTGGCACAGGTGTGCAAGGCATGGAGGCGGGTGCTCTACCAACCCAAGTTCTGGGTGGGCTTGACACCCGTCCTGCACACCAAAGAGCTCTACAACATCCTGCCCGGTGGTGAGAAGGAGTTTGTCAGCCTGCAGGGCTTCGCCGTCCGTGGCTTTGATGGCTTCTGCCTCGTGGGTGTCTCTGACCTGGACATTTGTGAGTTCATTGACAACTACCCCCTCTCCAAGAAGGGGGTCAAGTCCATGAGCCTTAAGAGGTCGACCATCACGGACGCGGGGTTGGAGGTAGGTGACTCCAGCAAGGTGGCCGGGGTGGAGGAGATGTGGCAATGGTGGGTCCTTCCTGGTGGCCCTGGGGACACACGTGTGGGCAGAGCTTTCACCGGCCGCAGCAAGGAGCAGGCAAGTAGCATGGCCATCCCATGGGTGTGGGCAGCACTGGGAGCCCCTGCCTGTGGTCTGGGCAGTGGGATGGGCTGCAGCCTGCGCTGCCCTCCCAGGCATGGGGTGAGGATGCTGTCAGGGGGGGTTCATCCCTGCTGCCTGCAGATGCTGCCGGAAAGGAAAAGCCAGGCAAGGTGGCCCTGCCACTGGGTGGCGGATGTGGCACCAGGTGGTGAGCAGGGCTCAGGGCATGGGGACATCCCCACTTGGCTGGCTGCTCCCCAGCAAGGGGGTCTCCTGGGCAGGGGGCTGCAGGTCAAATGGAGATGGGGTAACTCATGGTCCTGCACAGGGCCAGGCAAGGTCCCCACTGAGGTCCCCTGCCCCACACCATGGCCAAACACAGCACCAGCTGCTCTGTGGCTGCATCCTACCTGAGCAGCACCCAGGCTGGGAGTGGGCATTAATCCTGCCTCTGCCAACCGCACCAAGTACAGAGCAAGAGACGTGGCCGGGGGGTTCCTGCCTGTCCCCTCCCTTTCCCTGCTGATGCTGGCATGTCCTAGAGAAGGGCGCTGCTCTGATGTGAGGGGGGTCCCAGTGAGAAGGCTGGACCCACGCGGGGCTGGGGGCAGTGGGAAGAGCCCCGTGGGTCTCAGAGGGAGCTGGGGTGGGGGCACAAGGCTGCAT